GCGGAGTATGCACCACGCCTACAGCGTCTCAGGGATTTGGAGTGTAAACACGAGGCGTTCCCAGAGAATGAAAGCACCCTGAAACGGCTTTCCTTAGTGGGTACTGTTCGCTATCTGGTTAACTCGGCAAGTTCTGAAACCATAGTGCGCAGACTCAGAGCACTGCTGAACACTCAATGAACCACGTATTCCAGAAAATTCAGCATTCTTGTGATAACTTTCGAAGCACGAGCTCGGTGTTTGCCATGCTAGAACAACTTGAAGACATGTAAACCCTTAACCCTCGCGGTTCATTGCCGATATCAGCTCATCACGATAAACGCGTAAGCGCTTAAAAGCCACGGAGCTGAAAAGGTAAGGCGGTCCCGGGAGCATAATTTTTCTTCGCTGTCCTCTACAATGCCCGAAATTGAGCAATAGCCATCGATCTAAGATATTTAACTCACTATTTTTCCGTGGAGCCAGATGGCTGCAGTCACTGCCATCAGTCCTACAGAAGGCGCCAAATACCAACGTGTTCAAAAAGAAATTGAAGGAAGTTGACCTACTCGCTTTACTAGGAATTGAGGATTTCTAAAATATTGAGGTGTGAAGAGTTTTCTGCTAAGCGTGTATTTGTCTGAATTTGTCGTTGTCTTTTTTTTATATCGCTTGAATGTTTTCGCTGTCTAACCCATCCAGTTTCGAGCACATTGTAGCGCACCCTTGCGTGCATAGTAAATAAATAAATAATGGATAGCGCAGTGGCCCAGTCAGAGAAGATAGGATTCGAGTCCCGCCTGGAGTTTGACTTTTACCCATAACTCAGCATTCTTGGAATAACCTCAGCGAACCTTTAATGAACTCTATGACAAGCAAAAACCATAAACCTCCACCTAACTCATAAAAGCCGTTTTCAAGGATGCTCTCAGTCTTCTGGCATTGCCGCTATCTTAGGACGAAACGTTCAGAGTTTCGCGAGCAGCGCTTCGTCACGCGTTCGAAACAGCGATCGATGCAGTTGAAGCCATGCGCATCGATCGCGTAGAACGCGGTGGAGCGAAACGCTGCCGTTCGTAAAGTCTGAGCGCTGCCTTTACCTGATTGAAGATAAGAAATGATGGTTGATCGATTAACATGCAGGTGTTGTTACTTTCACCTAATATACTCCTCCTTTGTGAGGAGTTCGACGTTGGATAACTCTTCATCGACCACAGGGAACACGCGAGAAGATTCGGTGGTCCATAACCATGCGCTAAATTAACTACTGATGTCTACTTACAAACAAAACAGTTCATTAAACAACTTCTCTAAAATTCGGATTTAATAGCGATAGCGAAACATTCCAGCTCACGGCGAACTGAAGCACGTGAACTAGAACATTTCTAGAAAGTTGGTTCGGGATTGAAAATCGGAGATGCGGGTCCGGATCAAAATGAGATCTGGAAGCTGAGCTAGAGCTTGTTTGGCGAAGTACACCAGACAAGCTCTAGCTCTAGCTTGCTGTTGAATCTTCAGAACAATGCGCGGAAAATCTTTGGAGACTCCTCCAACCTATCCCAAACCGATATGAACCCTTGAACTTCTGAGTGCACAAATATCAGCTTCCATATGATTGCAAAAAGAGTAGAATAACGAACCACTCAGACTTATGAATACAGCGATTTCCCTCATCAACTGCAAGCTGTCCGATTGAGTTTGAATACGAAGTAAAACTGATCTTGGTTCACACATAAGGGTGACCACATCTGGTGAAAGTTCGCAGAGGAACACCAGATTTGTCAAACCACCACTGAAATAAGTACCTCTAGAAACTTTAGTTAACTTACTGAAGTATGCTAAACGTGAGAATCTACATAGCCCATTATAAACGGGGCCACTGGTTACAGAGAATTAGAAGTAGCAGCTTGAAAATGTATTACAAGCTATCCATGTCACCTCAAGCAACGAATTTAGAATGGGTATTACCTCAACTTCTTCAGTACGATTTGCGTATTGTCGATCGTAGACCAAGCTCCGCCCAAATATTCAGCGCACAATTCTCTGGCTGCATCCAGAATGGAGTTCATTTCACAGTAGTTGGATCGAACTTCGAAAAAAGATCCTGCAATTTAACACGAGTGAGCTCTTCCGCCCTCAAGCTCCACCGCTAGAATTGTCTTTGTACTTGCGCAAACTCTCGCACTGTGCTGTATGAGGCTTCGTTCATACTTTGCGTCAGCGTACGCCAGCGCCAGCGACTAGGAAAGTATGTATATCGATCTAGGGAACCCTAGCGTAAGCCAACGACTAGCAACGTTTGGAGAGACTAGCAAAGTACGGTCCACGGACAACTTGAACTCAATCCCTTTGAACGCGTCGATCTTCTCTTTTTCTCTGCACTCTCTCGTCCGCATGGCACTCTATGGCCGTTGTGACTTCGCACATTCCAGCTTTTCACGGATTATAAGTGGCTCGCCAGCCCCGGCCTCGCCCTGAAAAAGACCGTTTCCTGGCTCGTTACATGTTTCTTGCACGTTTCGATGCTTTGGCAGCCGCTGTCCTCTATCTGTCTGGGGTACAGGGTTTCGCAACAGGACCACGCACAAAAGTTTACGATGTCACGTAACACGGATATCGATCTACAAAAAGCCTCAGCGTATGTCAGCGTTTTTGCGGGTAATTTGAACTTGAGTAAAACTGCCCGCGAAAACGCTGCTGCAAGCTGGTGTCCTGCCCGATCGACATCCGTACTTTCCCAGGAGCTGGCGCTGGCGTGTGTGCTGTACGCTCGCGTACGTTGGCACAAGCTGTTGTACGCTGGCGTAGACTAAATCGATACTTATTTATTCCTAGTCGCTGGCGTACGCTCGAGACGCTGCCGTACGCTGACGCAAAGTATGAACGCAGCCTCATGGCACTATTCTACATTAACAATATCAGCGTTAACGCACACGTTGGAGTGGTCTTGGAATAACTTACACTAAGTGCGAATACCATCGGAACATATCACCCCAGTTACAGACTGCGAGCCATGACAAAGTCAGATAGAATACTGCGAAGATAGACGCAATGAGACGCTTTTTAGGGTCAGACAGATATCCCTCGCCCGAAAGAATTGCATTCCTCCCTTGTTCAACGAGTCTCTAGGACTGTCCCACTTTCGCGGCTCTGCAGTACGCTGCGGCCGACGCTGGTTGAAGGCACGCCACCCGTACCAAAGGGACCGTCTACAAGCTCATACTTACAGCACCACTGTTTCTTGGTGGCACGGGGGCATAAACTTGAAATACGTATCTACTTTTGTAGACAGGCTCATAAGTTGTGCTCATAAGTGATTTTACTTTCTTAAGACAAACTTGACACTAACCTCGAAGGTCGGCCCTTGTCACGTACGAGCTGAATGGGTCTGTAGCTGAGTAGCGTGCCACTTTCGCCGCACGGAAAGGGGGGGATGGGCTGGAGGATAGTGGTACCAGTAACTCTACACTCGCCTGCGCTATATTCGAGATGCACCTTTTGCACCGATACCTAGGTCCGGCAGTGAAGCATCCAGCTCTTAAAGAATGGAGAGGGTGCAGACAACCAGGCGTTTGGCTGTGGTCAGACAAATGGCTGTCCGAGCGACAGCGCGGGAGGAGTATAGACACTCTCCGGCACCCGGTTATTACCTTCCGGCCTCATTCCCGCGCACTGTTGACCCGCGAAAGTGGCACAGTGGTGTAGCTGCCGACCTATTCTTCCACAAAGCTGGGACCAGAGCCTACGCACGTGAGTGTTCAATTTGTCTGTAGATCCCCTATTTCTAGGAAGATGCGGTGCAACACTCCGTCAGACTAACGCCTCGAATGCTTTTTGTAACGGTTTGTTGTCATACTTTTTAAGGTCCGTTTTTAGTGCTGGGTGATATTCAGTATCGAATGCGCGGTGGGATTTAACTTGTGTGAAGCGTATCGATTTCTTGTCACACAAGCAACCAGTCCGAAAAACTCGTACAGTGAGACTGCCAAGTTGGTCATTACTTTGGGTGTTCTAAACGTTTTATTATGGTTCTTTCTCTACTGTGGAGTCACTTAGTCACCACACCGCTACCCACAATATGCAATCGCAGCATGCGATATGAGGAATTCCAGCGTTACTAGGATATCGATCTCTCAGGACTATTCTGCATGGATAAATCCCATGTCTACTCGGGCAACAGGCTGCAAAACTGGAAGCGAAAACCGCTGAAAAACTCACCAGAAAAGAAGAGCACGACGAATCCAGCGACTCCATCTGAGGGGTCATCGCACAGATTCTTCGAGGTAGTGTTTCGAAATTCTGAAATTATCATAATATCGCTTTACATATCCAAAATTTACCGTTTCATC